TAGTAGGCATGTAAAAAAAATGCCCTGGTCCACAAGAGGTGCAAGAGCTAAAGTGGTTAGGTAATGCGCTTTGTTTTATTATTTATTAAGCAGCAAAGTTAAAAATCATAGCAAGCTTGCAGACGATCAGCTAGTGTTCCTCTGGTATTTTGTTCTATAACATTGGAGCTCTGAGAGTCCTTTTATTGAATTTAAAGATAACTTTATACTCAAGACCAAAATGAAGCCGGAAGTAGGAATTTATTGGCAAGGCTTGCCAAAGGACTGGTACTTGTGTTTTTGTACATAATTCTACTTTAAGATTGTGCCGTTGATAGAGTCCATTTATCAATGTTGATAAAAAAAAAAAAAAATCATATTCACATGACATTAATGAAGTGTATAAAAAGTGTAATAGGGTCATTAGGAAATGCAGACAGCTGTTACAATGGTGGAAAATCAGAATCAATAGTATTTCCACTTAAGGACAAAAAAAACAACAAAAAAACCCCACAAAGACTAAAAATGTTTTATGTTGCAGCCTACTACTACAGTTGTTGTTAAATTCATCTGTTCCATTAATCTACACATAGTACTCCATAATGACAAAGTAAAAACAGAATTTTAGAGATGTTTGCAAATGTCTGAAATGAAGAACTGAAATATCACATTGGCAGAAGTATTCAGACCCTTTGCAGCACTTGAATTTAGCTCTGAGGCCTCCCATTTCTCTAGATCGTTGCTGAGATGTTTCTACACCCTGATTGGAGTCCACCTGTGGTAAATTAAATTGATTGGACATGATTGGGGAAATGCACACCTTTCTATAGAAGGCCTCACAGCTGACAATGCATACTGTATCAGAACAAAAACCATGAGGTCAAAGAAACTACCTGCAGAGCTCAGAGACAGGATTATTGCAAAGCACAAATCTAGGGAAGACTACAAAAAATGTTCTGCGGCACTGAAGGTTCCCAAGAGCACAGTGGCCTCCACAATTCTCAAATGGAAGTTTGGCACAACCAGGACTCTTCCTAGAGCTGGCTGCCCGGCCAAACTGAGCAATCGGGGGAGAAGGGCCTTAGTAAGAGAGGTGACCAAGAACCCCATGGTCACTCTGACTGAGCTCCAGAGATGGGACAAAGATCCAGAAGGACAACCATCACTGCAGTCCTCCACTCATCTGGCATTTATGGCAGAGTGGCTAGAAACACACGAAAGCCCACTTGGAGTTTGCAAAAGAACTCTGACTGTGAGGAACAAGATTCTCTGGTCTGATAAAACCAAAATTTAACTGTTAGGCCTCAATTCTAAACATTATGTCTGGAGGAAACCAGGCACCGCTCCTCACCTGCCCAATACCATACCGACAGTGAAGCATGGTGGTGGCAGCATCATGCTGTGGGTTTGGTTTTCAGCAGCAGGAATTGGGAGACTGGTCAGGGATGAGGGAAAGCTGAATGGAGCCAAGTACAGAGATATCCTTAATGAAAACTGTTCCACAGCACTAAGGACCTCAAACTGGGCCAACATGACAACAATCCTAAGCACACAGCCAAGACAACACAGGGGTGGCTTAGGGACAACTCTGTGTATGTAGTGGCCCAGCCAAAGACCTGACTTGAACATCTCTGGAGAGACCTAAAAATGTCCACTGACGGTCCCCTTCCAACCAGACTGAGCTTGAGAGGATTTGCAAAGAAAATGCCCCAATCCGGATGTGCAAAGCTCGTCACATCATACCCAAAAAGACTCAAGGCTGTAATTGCTGCCAAAAGGTGCTTCAACAAAGTACAGAGAAAGGGGTCTAAATACATAAGTACATGTGATTTAGTTTTTTTTCTTTTTAAATCAATTCACAGACATTTCTAAAATTCTGTTTTCACTTTGTCATTATGGGGTACTGAGTGTAGATTACCGAGAGAAAAAAAAGAATTTAAACTGTAGTTTAAAAATACAGCACAATGTACCATCAGCTATAGAGGAATACAAATCCCAGCAATACATTATACACTGTATGTATAATGTATTGCTGGGATTTGTTGTATTCCTCTATAGCTGATGGTATTCTGCATTGCGCTGTATAGAGGACTACAAATCCCAGCAATACATTATACAGCACAATGCAGAATACCACCAGCTATAGAGTACAGCAAATCCCAACAATAATTCATTATACAGTGGTGCAATGCAGAATACCACTAGCTATAGGAGGACTACAAATCCCAGCAATAATACATCATACAGTGGTGCAATGCCGAATACCACTAGCTATAGGAGGACTACAAATCCCAGCAATACATTATACAGTGGTGCAATGCCGAATACCACTAGCTATAGGACTACAAATCCCAGCAATAATACATTATACAGTGGTGCAATGCCGAATACCACTAAAAAACCCAGCAATAATACATTATATAGTGGTGCAATGCCGAATACCACTAGCTATAGAGGACTACAAAACCCAGCAATAGTACATTATACAGAGCAATGCAGAATACCGCCAGCTATAATGTACCATTGCTGGGATTTGTTGTATTCCTCTCTAGCTGGTGGTATTCTGCATTGTACTGTATAATGTACTATTGCTGGGATTTGTAGTCCTCCATAGCCAGTGTCATTCTGCATTCATTGCTGTATAATTTTACACTTTTCATTTCACTATATTGCACACCACACTTTATTTTTTATTTCCACCGCTCCAAGCTTGCTCCTGTGATGGACTGCAATCTCAATACAAACTAGTAGTCCATCACTGGAGCCATTTTTTTAAATGTATTTGATTTTTTATCCGATTAACCGAACTTAATAAAATCGGCTAACTAATCTATGTTGAAAATAATAGTTAGCTGTAGCTCTAGAATCATGCCCGTTTTTAATGCAGTGCCGTCTGAGGGCCTGAAGATAACAGGCATCCAATATTGCTTCCCAGCTTTGTCCCTTTGCGCACAGAGATCATTTTCAATTCTCAAAGTCTTTTAATGATATGTACTGTAGAAGATATATTTCAAGTCTTTAACAATGTCAGAATATTGTTCCTCAATGTAAAATTGCAGACACAGCTTTTCACAGATTGGTGAACCTCTGGCCATCTTTTCTTCTGGGACACCGACTCTAAGATTCTTTTTGTTATTCAGAATCATGTTGCTGACCTGCTGCCAATTAACCTTGTTAGTACCACTTACTTTGCCAGCTTTTTATTGCCCTTCCCCAACTTTGAGACGTGTTGCTGCTTTCAATTTCAAAATTACCTTTTTTTTCTTCTTAAAATGGTACATTTCCTCAGTTTATACATTGGATGTTTGCTACATTCTATTGTGAATAAAATAGGGGTTTATGAGATTGGCATTTCATTGTTTTATGTAGATTGTACAGTGTCCCAAATTTGTTGGAATTGTGGTTGTACAACACATTCATTTGAAGCCCTCATTCACTTGAGTGAATGTGATAAGGGCCACACAGGCTTATTCTTGGTGGTGATCAGACCTATTCCTTCAGCTGATGTTCAGGAATTTGCAATCAGCCATGGCCAATAGCCTGTACAAATCGATGACAAACTGACAGCTGTATGCATCCGAACAGTTACATGGGATTAGGGACACATAAGCAGCCCTGGACGCAAGCGTGTTTTGCATCATTATCATACTGAAAGACCCATTTCCACTTGAACTTTGACTTTCAGGCACATAGGGGTTGACTTACTAAAGGCAAATAGGCTGCTCATTTTGCAGGGGAATTTCCATTAGCGTGGTGAAGCTTAATTTGTAAAGAATACCCAATCATGTGCAAGGAAAAATTAGAAAAAACAAAAACCCAGCATTTTTTTCTTGAACATGATTGGGTGATTGAAGTCAGCAGAGCTTCCCCTCATTCACTAAACCAAGGGCAAACACCCCCTACTAAGTGAAAATTCCCCTGAAAATTAAACAGCCTATTTGCCTTTAGTAATCAACCCCATAGCCTCACCTTCTAATCAAGCACACTTTGATCTGATACAAAATTCATAGTTGGTAACCAGGGGGG